CTGAAGGTTGGAAGTCCAAGGTCAAACTGTCAGCATGGCTGGTTCCTAGTGAGAGCTCTCTTCCCGGCTTGCAGACAGCTGCCTTCTCACTGTATCTGCACACAGGCTTTCCTACGTGCTTATGGGGAGGGGTCAGGGCCCGCGAGCTCCTGAGGTCTCTTCTTATCAAGTGAGGACACTAACCCTATTCTTATGACCCCGTTTGGTCTTAATTACTTGCTTAGAGGCCCCATTTCTAAATGCAGTCACATTGGAGGCTTAGAGCTTGTGCAGGAGACGATTCAGTCCATAGCATTAAATATGCCAAGAATGCAAAAATTATTTTATTTAACAAACACCTGTATAGTACTTACCATGTGCCAGGCACTTTTCAAAACATCACACATGTTAAAAACTACTTAGATCATGCCCAGGACCCAGGAAGTACAAACCGTGTGTTTTGTGGTTACTGTGAAGACCATCACTCTTACCATTGTGCACCTGCTGTGTGTCAGTCATTGTGTTGGACACTTAGATCTGCCAGCTCTTTGGATCCCCACACACTCTGCAGTGGTCTTCACTGTGTCCATTATATGAAGGAGGAAACCAAGACTCAGGGAGCAAAGTGGCTTCCCCAGGACAATCCAGGAAGAACTCACTGAGACTGGTGGAGAACCCACATCTGTCCAGTCTATGTCAGTATTTCCAGCAAGACATAATAAAGATCTAGACTGGGCTGGAGACTTGAAAACGGGGAGAAATGATCAAATCCAAAGTGGGAGAAGTAATCCCAACCAGCCCACCTCCTGGGAATGTGAATGGTAAACAAGGCCACGGATTCCCTGGAAAGTGCTCCATAAGCCATGACACATCGCCCACTTGAGAAGGGCCAGTTCTGTACTCCCTCTGGCAAAAGGCAACTGCTGGGGAAGGCGAGCGCTGAAGCCTCATGAGTCATCACAGTTTCGTGTGAATTCCTTCATCAGAGCCATGTATGAGTGTCAGTTTCCATTAAAAGGGAGGGGGTGGGGCCCTGAAGGTGCTGGCCATCTGGACGTGGATGACATTAAGTCAGGGAAAATATGGCATCATGGGAGTCCACAGTAGGGATGGGGTGAGGGACCTGGAGTCAGAAGACCCAGCTCTGCATTGGCTGGGGGTGTGACCCCTGGCAAGTACTCATGTCCCCTAGGAATCGATTTCTTTTTTTAAAACATTTTATTATGAAGAATTTAAAATTTAAACTTTCAGTCAACAGAATAATATAATGTACCCCCTAGGTGCCTACTGCTCGGCTTCTACAATTATCAACTCAAGTCTTTATTTTCTCTCTTCTTCCACCCACTCTTTCCCATATTTTTGTAAGCCAATCCCAGACATCTTATCACTTCATCTGTTAATATTTCAGTCTATATAAAGATAAGGATTCTTTAAAAAAAATAATAACTACAGGGCCATTATCGCAGCTAAGCATATTGACAACGATTCCTTTACGACAAATATGCAATCAGTGTTCATTTCCACCTGCTCCATAATTAGCTTTTCTTTTTTTTAGAATTTGTTTGAATTAAGATCCAAATCAAATTTCCACATTGATCATTTAACATGCCTTTTAAGCTTATCTATAAATTCCCTTTCCATCTCTTTTTCTTTCCCGTTCCTTACAATTTATTAAATGAAGAAGTCAGGTCGTTTGTCCCATAGAAGTGTCCCACGGTGTGGATTTTGCTCACAGGGTCAATGTCTTTATCTGTAAAGCAGGGCAGGGGTGAGAGAAAATAACCCTACAACCCCACAGAGGCCAGGACAAAACAGGCTGGCCGTGAGGGGTACCCGCTCACCCAGGCAGAGAGGGGCCCAATGTCTCAATGATTTCAAGCACTGAGCTTGCCAAATGCTTGTTCTGGAAATCAGCCTGAGTGCCTCTCTGCCCTCAGCCAGCAGGCCCTGTGGGGCCAGGTTGGGGCTCAAGCCCAACTCCTTCTTCCATCAGCCAATCAGGAGCTTCCCTCCTCCTGTCCATCTGACATGAGGTCCTGAAGCCCCAGGCTCGTGGGGGTACAAGAGTGAAATGAGATATGTCTGTGAATGGGCTCTGACAGTTGGAAGGCACCCACAATTGCCATGTGTTCATGTATCTTCCAAGCCATTCCATACCCTGTGCTTCTGTTTGTCTGATGCTCTATATAATTGAGGTTCAGAGAAGCTTAGTAACCTGCCCACACTCAGACAGCTAGCTAACAGTAGAGGGAGGAAAGGGAGGGTGGAATTGACCTCGACTCCATGCGGAGACCCAGGCTCGAATCCCACTGCACCCTTTAGTAGCTTTATGGCCTCGGATTCTGTGCTTTGAGCCTCAATTTCTTCCTTTGCAAAAACCAGCCTGGAGACCAGACCTGCATGAGGCTAAACCGAAGTAATGTGAGAAGAGCTGGTCTCAGGTGCCTGGCAGTCAGTGCCTCACCTCATCACTTCTGGCCCAGTTCCTTCCTCCCTGAGTATGGATAAAGCTCAAGGATCCAGTGGTGGTAAATCTGGACCCTTGGTCTGTCCCGAGCCCACCCTCAGGCCAGAAGAGACAGGGTGGGTGGCCCTCGGAAGCTGAGCACACTCTGTTCTTGGGGCAGCTTGGCAGGCAGCTGTGACCTCTTGAGCTTTGGGAAACAATCAGCTATTCTTCCTCCTTCTCCCTCTGATTGTTACTCATCCCTGGGCCAAAGGGGCCCAGAGAGAAATGCTCCAGCTCCCAGCAGATCCCAGCCCATCTGCACAACCTACGGGGAGGATTTCCAGGCATCAGCCTTGACTCTAAGAAGCCTCAGCCTACGTCATGGTTCACACCAGAGCTGACACCAGTACTTTGATTTCCACTCAGGTTCCGTGTCACTGACTCATGCACTAGGCAGCATGCTGTGCGCCCTGGAGATAATGATAATAATCAAGACAGCAATGACAATACGAATAATAGCCCACAGTTATACAGTACCTACTGTATGTCAGGCATGGTTCTGGGCACCGTTTGTATGACCAGGTCCTAGTATTGCCCTCATTTTGCAGATGAGGAAACTGAGCACTGAAAGTTTGAATAACTCGCCCAAGGTCACGTAGCAAGTCAGTGGTGGAGCTGGGGTTTGAACAAAGATTTGCTATTTGCTTTCAGTATGTTATCTCATTTAATTCTCACCAAAGTCTCCAAATATCCACCTTCTTGTGCGCATTTGCATGTGAGGAAACAGGTTCAGAGAGATAGAACACTGTACCCAAGTGCACACAGCTGGGTCTATTTGACTCCAAGATCAGACTCTTTCTACTCTTCCAGGCTGAGAATACAGCACAGATGTCCGTCACTCGAATTCAAATGAGAAAGTGGGGGTGGCCTCGCCAACTGGGAGGTAACTACAGGCTGGAGGAACTCAGACAGGATGCGATCATCTTCCAAAAGCTTCCTGGAGGAGGGACCACAACGGGGGCTGGGACTTGAATGGTGCAAACCAATCCCTCACATCATAGCAGGTCTAACTGGGGCCCAGTCCTCTGTGAGAACCTCCACATGGCAAGGCTGGCCCCTTCACCCCCTTTTTTTTTCTGTGCAGTCTGAGACTTTCAGGGGACACATGGTCTGAGGTCCTGCAGTGAGGACCCGGGCCTTGGGGCTCTGTCCCTGAACTGTCAGGCAGTGAGGGGGATGCTTGGCAGGGGGCGGCTGGGGGTGGTGGCTGAGGAGAGGAGACACTCTCCACCCCAGACCAGTGTCATTACTGAGTCATGAGGCTCTGGTTGTTGGCTCCTTCCCAATAGACTGTAAGCGCTGTGAGGGCAGGGGCTGGGTCTGTCTTGTAG